CTCTCCGCTTCACTCATTTCACTAATTTCTTTGCTGTCACTTGACTATTAAGAATGTTACACCTTATTTAAGTCAATAGCTATAGAGATAATGACAGCAGAATTTCTATAGCATCTTTAGATTAAACACAGCACCTAATTAAATTCTTGTGAAAATTTAGGAAGGCGAAGTACTGTGGATATTATTAGTCTCAGTTACTAGATGAGGAAACTGAGTCTCCAGAGAGATTAAAGGCTTTGGTTACATAGCAAGTAAGTTTCAGAAATGGAATTCCCACCAGACTTCTCCTGACTCTGGAGCCAGGACTTTCTCTGTTGCCCCAGGTTGCTTTTGCAAGGAGTAGGCTTATTATTTCATTGTGAGTTTTCTGAATAAGGGATCATATTTTGTTTTTCCCTTGCAACAACACAGAGCTATGCTTTGTACATATTAAGTGCTTCTAATAAAGTCTTGTAGAAAGAAAAAATGCGAAGGATATCATCAGAAAGATAGAGTGAGAGGTGGATAGCCTCTGTTGCCCACTGACATCCCTGCAACATCAGGAGATTTAGAGAATGGTACCCAGAACCTTGGGTTGCAGGAGGACATGGATAAGAGTCATGTAGAATGGGAAGACTTGGATGGGCCATGACCTTTAGGATTGGCAGAAATACTCCCAGGGTAGGGTGAACTGCCTGAGGAGGTTATGGGTTTCCTACCACCAGATGTCCTTGAGTGGAGATTAAAAGAACTTTTGTTTGGTATGCTACAAAGGAGGACAACTTGAAGGGGTCTCAGAGACCATCTAGTAGAACACCCTCAGTTTTAGAAATAGGAGAACTCAGGCCCACTCAGAAGTATTTTTTTTTGAAGCCAGGTCCTCTGACTCCAGAATCCATTCTTTTCTCTCTGTGTCTTCTCAGATATGAGTACGTCTAATTGGCCATTGCAGTCTCTTTCAAGTATGTACTTCTCTGAGAAAAGGAGGAAGAAAGCGAGGGAAGAAGGGAGAAAGGAAAGAAAAAAGAAAGGAAGGAGAGAAGGGAGAATGAAGGAAGAAAGGGAGGAAGGAAGGAAGAAGGGAAGGAAAGAGGGAAGGAATGAGGCAAGGAAGAAAGGAGGAAGAAGGCATGGAAGAAAGAAAGGAAGGAGAGGAGGGAAGGAGAGGAAAAGGGAGGGTGGAGAGAGGGGAGGGACAGAGGCAGAGAAACTCCTCAGCGTGGATCATTAACTATACTAATCTTGTATATTTTGTAAGATGCATCCATTCCCAGAAATTCCATCTGGTCCCCAGCCTCAGTTCCCCCAGATACCATTACAGAAGCCATACCAATATAGATGCATTTAGTCTTTCAGGGTTTATCGTTCTTCATGTAACATTTTATTCAAGCAGAGATGTTGGCTCTACCAGCAATTAAATTTTCCATGAAAGCCACATGAGATCATTTTCAGAGGAAAGTCTGGGAGTGGTTTTTACAACATTCCAAATAAGATATTCTTTTCTGACTATCCTATGGCTCAGGGTTCCTAGTAGAATGTCCTGTCAGCAGAATGTACAAAACATTAAAAGAAAATGACTGCTGAGAAATGGAACTTACCAGCAACCACAACACGGGGGGGGGGGGAATGGCACAGAGACAGGTGGGCAGAGGAGGCAGGGAGGCAACTGGGCACAGTTCCAAAAGCCTTGGCTTTGCAGTCAGAATACCAGAGTTTGAGTTTCTTGTATGCTCGTCAGTAAGCTGCATAGCCTCTCTGGTACATATCTGTAAGATGGGAGTGTGTGTGTGTGTGTGTGTGTGTGTGTGTGTGTGTGTGTGTGTGTGAGAAATTAATTATTTTCAATTTCTGATTATCCATGAGTTTTGAATAATCAATGAGTACTTTAGGGAGGCCAAGAGAGGGGGAGTAGCTACAGTAATTGACACTTTTTAATGCTATTTTATTTTCTGACTTCATGTAATTTGTTCCAGAAATTCCTGCTGCCCATAATAATAGTATTTATATAAGACTTAAAATTTTTAAAACACTTTAAATAGGTTATCTCATTTTATCTTCACAACAACTCTGGGAGGTAGGTGTTATTATTATCCCTATTTTAGAGGTACAAAGTTGAGGCAGATGGAAGTGAATTGACTTGCCCAGGGTCACACAGCTAATAAATGTCTGAGGCAGGATTTGAACTCAGACCTTCTTGATTCCAAGTCCAGCTCTTTCTCCACTACATCACCTAGCTATTTATTAGATGATAATTCATATCTATAATAATTAACAGTGAGAACTGGATAAGCTGTTGGGCTTGGAGTCAGGAAAACCTGGGTTCAAATCTTACCTCTTACAATTATTAGCTATGCAACCCTGGACAAGTCATTTAATGTCTCTCTGTCTTAGGCTTCACTTTAAGACTAATCTAGGTGTTTTAAAACTCTCTTCTATCTTTGCTGGGCACTGGAGATGCAAAAGCAAAGATGAAACAACTTCTACCCTCAAAGAGCTTACAATCTATAGATGGGGGAAGGGCACAACATGTAGTCAAATGAATAAATACAGAATTAATGCAAAGTATTCTCTCTAAGGGGAGGTTGGAATACTGCAAATTGTATGAATCAGAAAAGGCTTTCCATAGCAGGTGGTCCTTGGGCTGAATGTGCAAGGGACGCTGAAGGTGAGGAAGAAAAAGATTCACAGCATGGGAAAAGCTTGCATATAAAACCCCTGGAGTGTGCAATTCTTAGATGAGGTGTGGCATGACCTTTAAACTAAGCTTTATTTGTTGTGATCTATGCAGTCATCCAGAGGTTGTACCTCTACGGCTATAGGATAGTTTCTGGACATGCAATCAAAAAGTAATGGAGGAGATTCTGGTAAGCTTCTTTCTTCCTAACATCATCCTTTTGTATCCATCACTGTGGTTTGTCAGAAATTGCTCCGTGTCGCCACGTATGGATCGCATGAAGAAACCAGCCAGTTGGCTCTGGGCATCCTTCTCCAGCACATCTGGCCAAAGGGTGGAAGTACTTTGGAGTTAATGTCTGCATATGAAGAGTTTTTAGTGCTGTCAGCACCGTCATAGTCAATTACATCTGAATTAAAACCGTAGAGTAAATTCTGCAAAGGAACAGACCTGGGCAAACGCACACCGTTCAGTGTTTTGTGTTTCAGTACACTTACATATCATCATACTGCAAAAAAAAGGACACAATGATTCCCTCAGGAACTGTCTGAAGTCTTGAGAGCCTCATTTGGATTGAGGAGAATAACTAGATTTCAAAGACAGTATGTTAGGTAAGTCTGTTCCATGTTGCCCCACAAACTGACTCCATTTGGCTCTTTCTCTGCCCATTCAGTGGAAATTGTAGGCATGCATTATCTCAGTCCTGAAAATTCTTGTTGCCTTCGGTTAGTTCTTAAACTGGAAAATGTGGTTTTGGGAGTCCTACAATTGCAAAAGTCACAGGAACAGCATTGGATTTGGAGTCGGAGGGCTCACACTTCAAATCCTAGTGCTAAGATTTACTACTTATAAGACATTAGGAAAGTCATTTGACCTCTCCAGGAAAAACTAAAACAGGTACAGGAAGATAGGGCTTTGTTCTAGGGTGCCATTCTCCACACGGTATATGCTCCTTCACTGCTGCATCTCCCCTGCCCCCTACCTGGAGATTCTCTGCTGTCCCATGCATTCATATTGTCTAACTATCTCTTGGGCTACCAGACTCAGTCATGTCAGTATGGTGCCCTTCATATGGGAACTGCTGCCCTTGCCTGAGACCCCCCCCCCACTCTCTAGGGGACTGGCTATCCTCTCTACAAGTGCAAGATTGTACCGTCCTTTGCACTGCCCCCTGCCTCAACTGTTTTGTCTCCACCTCCCCCACCTAATGTAAAACAAACAAAACATTCCTACTTATAGTTCTATCACTGGGTCTCAGTTTTTTTGGTTATTAAATGAAATTTTTGCTGATCTTCAGAACTGACAGTGTTTTCACTCTAAAAAATGAATAAATTATGAATAAAACATGAATAATAAAATATGTGAATAAAAATATGAATAAAATGAATAAATTAAATACAGATAAATTTTGTATATATTTCTCACGTCTCACTTTTATGTAAATATACATCTTCTTCCATAGAATGTAAATTTCTTGAGGGCAGAAATGATTTCATTTTAGTTCAGCTACTACCTCAGACATTTACTAGTTCTGTGACTCTAAGCAGCCTCTGTACTTTAATCTTGGTCAATCAGTTTTCTTATCTATAAAGTGGGGACAGTAGCATTTATTTCATAGGATTGTTGTGTGGATCCAATGAGATAATCCATATAAAGTGCTTTGTGTTTCTGAAAATGTTAGCCATCATCATCATCATCATCATCATCATCATCATCATCTCATCATTATTGCTATTGTTTTTTTTGTTGTCATCCCCAGAGCTTAGCACAATGTCTGGCACATAGAAGGGACTTAATAAACTTTAATGATTCCTTATTTAACATTGGTTGAAAATATTCTCTTTTAGATCTTTTCTGTTAGGCAATGGGATTCCCCCATTCTTAACACCAAATGTGAAATAGAAGCCTGCTCACTGGTATTTTCTATAACCATGTTAATTTTGTTGTAAGACTACATTTTAAAGCCATATCAATGGTACAAGAGGCAACTATAGTCTGTTAAAAACTGAATAAAGAGTAGCAACTTAACCTAAAGAAAGGAGTTAATGAAGGAAGGGAATACCAGCCAGATAACTGATGGGTTTCTTGTGGAAGGACTCAATTTGACATTGGGAACTGTTGCACATGCACAGGATGGATCAGAAATATTATGGTATTATAGCACAAAAAGCCTCTCAGATAGATGATAGATAGATAGATAGATAGATAGATAGATAGATAGATAGACAGACAGATAGATAGATAGATAGATAGAAATAGATATATTAGGGCAGCCTTTCTTGTGGCAGGCTGTCTCTGCTATAGGCAACACTCTCCCTGCCTACCATTTTCTAGATTTTTTTTATACCTGAAATTTCCAGGACTCAAGCTCTGCATGGAGGATTTGGCCAGGCAATTTCCATCTTTGGTCCTATGAAATGAGAGATAGGAAAATGATTAAACCTACTTGAATGAGATCTGCCACTCCTCTAATTTACATCTATAGAATCAAAGAATCACAATACCTGAGATCTAGAGTAGGAAAGGAACTCAGATGCCATCTAGTCTAACCTTTTCATCTTATAGATGAGGAAACTGAGGCCCAGGGAGATTATTTGGCTTGCCTGATGTCATGGAGATCATTGAGTGATCTTACAAATGTACTGCTCCTTGATTGGAACATACAGATTGTATCCTTTCCCTGGCCTTGATTTGGGGATAGGGGCCTTCCTAGTGTGTGGGCTTCTCTGGTTTGCAAGTACAGCTGTTACCCTGGTCTGGACCTGTTAACTATACCTCTGATAGAGTTATCCTAATTGCATCCTTCCTTTGCTGCTCCTGTCCTTGTGTTCCTACCTCTACGAGTCTTCTTAAAGCTCTCCCCTGTTTTCATTTGAATAAATAACTAAATAAATAAACTAAATAAATAAATAAGTAAACACAAAATGAATACACACACATACATGTGTGTGTGTGTGTGTGTATATATATATATAATATATATATATATATATATATATATATATATATATATATATATATATATATATATATATATATATATATATATATATATATATGTATGTATGTATAATCCATACTTATATGTTTATGGTTTAACACTCTGTTTTGGTGCCAACCTTTGTGTGCGTGTATAAATGTAAAATACATGCATGCATGCATGTGCATGTGTACATATATATTTGTATATATGTGTATGTACACACAATTCATATATAGACATGCATACACTACATATGTGTGTAGCTATATGTATGTATTTATATGTGCTTTAAAAAAAGCTTATTAAGTATTTACTAGTGAATTTCTTTTTGTGGCACCCCATTTCCCATTTCCATGAGTTTGCCCTGGCTATCTCCTATACCTTTAATGTTCTCCTTCCTCACTTTTTGGAATCCCTTTTCCTTCAAGACTTAGCTCAAGTGCCATTTTGATAAAAACAGCATCTGCTTTATTAAAATTTGAATGGTTTCCCTTTAAGGAGGCCAAGAGGCCATGCTCAGGACTTGTTTGGTCCAGAGGACTGTGAGTAGAAAAAAGACACCTTGTACACAGTCAATGACTCAGATGTTTAGTAGAATTCCACTTGTCTTTCAGAGATACCGTTGTCATTTGGTGTGGCTGTTGTGGTGAATGTGGAGGCAGCAGGGTGCTAGTTGCATTAGCATCTTATTTTACCAGGTAGGAATTGTATCCTTTTAGCCTTCTAGATCAAGGTATTTTTTTTCCAATTGTGTTTTGTAATCTGTAACTGTTGGATTTCCCTTTAATACCGAACATGTATCTTTGGATCGGCTTGAACTAGACTGGTCTAAAATAGCCTAATTCTGTATGAAGTCTTACCTGGTTGTCACAGTTGCTAGCATCTTCCCCATCCATGCTTATCTTGCTGCTACCTTAGATTTGTTTTTGTGTAAATAGACATCAAGGTTGAGATCTATAGATAGACAATGTAGATATAGATGATATAGACATACATATAATTATAGATACATGTTTTATGTAGGTATTTTTATCTTTCATTTGAGAATGTAGACTCCTTGAGGGCAGAGTCCATTTCATTTCTATTTTTGAATTCCTAGCACCTGCCATAGTCCCTGGCACACAGTAGGTGCTTAACAAAAATGGGATGAATTGATTAAATTTGAAAAAAAGTAAAGAAAAAGAAAAACCTTGTAATACTTAAAATTACTACAGCTACTTGGGACACATGAGATGGTTAGAAATGCCTACCATACCATACCCAGAGACTTAGACCTAGAAAAGGAGATGTTATTGGATGCTTGGGTTAGCATAGTTGGAAAAGGAGAGTCAATTTCAGAGTGAAAGGAAAATGGAACGTGTGGTCTCAGAAAAGTGTAACTGGTTTCTGAGTTTAATGTACTCTCTACTGTCATGACTTAGCTCAATCAAATGAAGCAATGAACTTTCTTAGATTTTTTTTTGAAAATCTTAATCTCTGTGTTACTTTAGGAACCTGACCCTCTATAGGATATAGAATTAGAAGGCCATACCTAAAAAATCCTATGAATTTGAAATCTTCCTTGTTTCAGACCAGATAGATAAATACATGGCACAGTGCTTATCATTATAACTGTGTTGGGGAATGTAACAGAAATTTAGATCTCATGGAGAAAGAGGAGAAGGGAATTACCTATTTCTACAGGTAACTGTGTTAGATGTACTCAGGAGCTCAAAAAAAGTAATTAGCATGTAAATCGCATTCTGAAGCAGAGAACAAAAATAATCATGTCACTGAGGGCCTATCTACAGTAGACTTTTGGTGCCCGAGATTGACCTGCAATCCTCTTTAACAAGGCGATAATGAGCTCTTAATGCCCACAGGAGCTGTTGGGTAGAAAGCTTATAGGGAAGATAAATACATTTCCACATACATGATCTAAAGCAAAATATAGACAAACAAGACCAAAATCAGCATCTTCACCTTTAGTCAGAAAGAGAATCATGGCAATATAAGGATGCTAAGCAAGAATTTCAGTCTCCTGAGATTTCCAAGAAGCTTGATGATCTTGGTTGAGATGACTGGGAGTGGGGGGCCCAGTGTTAACTCCTAGCAAGGTTAGGGAGAGTGTGGCAATGCAGAGAAGATCTTCCTAGTCCTCTCCAGCTCCTGCCTCTGTGACAACCTCCGTCAAGAGAAAGAAGTGACAGGGAGAAAAATCAAAAGCAGCTCAAAGACCTATTTAGAGCAAATGATCTCCCTCAAAATCCATTTTGGCCAAATTTCTGCCAACTGTTATGAAGGAATTTTAAAGGAAAGTTGTCCTTGTTTATATATTTTTTTCTTTGAAACACACACACACACACACACACACACACACACATACACACACACTATTGAATCATCTGGAATTTCTTCTGTATTTATATAACCATGGTAGCAATGACCAACCAGCTAAATGGTCAAGAATGCCTATAAAATAAAGTATGAAGACATGATATTTGTGATTAAACATATCTTTAAAAAAATATAATAATTTAACTCATACGAGGGAATCTCCTGCTGACACTTGGGTCTGAGTGACAAGCAGAATCAACTACCGTTCTTTGATTCCATCAATGTCACATGTTTGCTCTATAATTTCTCCATATAATAAAATGGCACTTGGCTTTCAAATAATTGGAAGCTCCTGGATTGGACTGATTATTACCCTTCCAACTAATACTTAACCACAGTAGAGTCTGAGGAAAGGCCTGGATTTGGAGGCAAGGCTCAATATCTTACCAGCTCTTTCATGCCACTCCTGAACCAATCACTGCCCATCAGTTTTTCCATTTGTAAATGGAGAAAAAATCCTTAGATAACATTTATCTTAGAGGCTTTTGTGAGAAAATTCAATCCAATCCACTAAGTGTTTGTTAAATATCTGTAATGTATAAGTCACTAGGCTTTGCATAAAGAAAAGTACTTTGTAAACTATAAAGTGATGTAGAAAATGGGAGTTATTATAATTACTATTATTATTGTGCAGACCTATGATTTCATTGGCGTATGGAGTTCCTGGGGAAAAAAAAATCTTTGTACCAGTGCATCTCAGCAAGCGTTCTACAACATATCATCTTAGATATTTGACTGAGTGATTCATTATTATCGCTGCTGTTTATTTTTTAAGAGCCAGCATGGTATGGTGAAAAGAAGGTTGGTCTCAGAGCCAGGAAGAGCTGAAATCAAATCCTGTCTCTGACACATACTGATTAGTTAATTCTGTGCTAATCACTTAATCTCTCAGCTCTCTAGGCAACCCTCTAAGAGAAGTCACTGGCCTACATTTGTAGTGGTTTCCCATACCAATAAAATCCTAGGTCTAGTTCCCATCCCTTTATTTTTGATTATGCTGATTTCATAGTCAGAACTACAGGAGATGTGTCTTAAGTGTACAAAAGCACTAGACATGTGTCTTGCACACAGTAGGTTTTTAGTAAGTGGTTGGGTTGTTGAAATGAATTACGAAGCAAGGATGATAGGACCTTAAAATTCTTCTCTTGGCTCAGAATCATGAAAAACCTTGGCTCTATGAAGCACTAAGCCATAAACTGCTGGGAACCTGTCAATGTACTATTTAGCATTAGTGATACATTTTCAGAATAATAGCTTGACCCTGAGGTGAGTTGGTAAATGTTTAACAACTAGCTCTCTGATGTATATCTATATCTACAACTATATGATGAAGGATTCACACGTTTGAACTGAATCTGCATTATTTTGCTAGGTGGCATAGGGGATAGAGCTTTGGACCTGGAATTAGGAAAACTCATCTTCCTGAGTTCAAATCAGGCCTCAGACACTTACTAGATATGTGACCCTGGGCAAGTCACTTAACTCTGTTTGCCTCAGTTTCCTCATCTTTAAAATGAGCTGGAGAAAGGAACAGAAAACCATTTCAGGATCTCTGTGAAGAAAGCCACAAATGAGGTTTTGTGAAGAGTTGGACAGTACTGAAAAACAATATTATTAACATTTTCTCCATCACTTTCTTAAGTTTAGACAACCAATAAAACGATACATCAAGCCCTGATTTATAGCTCCAAGTTGTAAGTACACTGAACATTTAATAATGGTCTCTCTCCATTGAAGTTGGCTCCATTACATGCCTGGCTCAGCTTTGCCCTAGTATGACTCTCAGCCATACCTGCATGTGACTGACTTAGTGGATTTCGGTTATAAGACTTCCTGTTATAGATTCTTTCCTGCTATGACCAGATTCCATTGTGAGTTTCCTGCATCTATCATTTAAACTGACACTTATTTGGGTTGGGGTAATTGATAATTTTTCCTCTTCTAAAGCAATAATGTGTTAGGGGATCTTATTCAAGGAACCATCCTTTATATCTTCTTCTTCCTTACTGATGCTCTGTCAGCATCTGTCTATCTCATTCATCTGACCTAATAGATCATGATCTTTTGTGTTTGCAAATGCAAAAGTTTGGGCATTTCTGGGGTTGGGATTTCTGTTCCATGCTTCTGCCTGCATATTTCAGAGTAACTCTGCACTGAGAAACATGACAAAATTCTTCAAATTCTAGGGTCCTGGAGGGTGCACTGTCTTGGGGAGAGTGGTGGGGAGGAAGGAGGAGAAAAATTTTAAACTCAAAAGCATATGGAAGTGATTGTTGATAAATCAGAATAAATTAATTGATAAAAAATTTTTTAAAAAAGTTCACATCCAAAAAAAGATATTTCTGGAAAAAGAAAAAAAAATTACGATATACATACTTAGAAAAATTGACTCAGCAAACACATCTCAAGTAACTATTCCCCTATAAATATTAATAGAGGTCTTGGACATGTCATTTCATTGGCTATAGTAAACTCCGGGTGAACAAACTCCTTCCAGTGTATGTCAGCACCTTCTCTGCCATTTATAGTCCTAGAGATTTGCCTAGCCCAGGGGTATCAATCTCAAAAATAAAGGAGGTCACTAAACTACATAAGGGTCCCTGCCAGCCACCTGTTGACTTAGAAAAGCACATCTTACATTATCTATATTCTATAGCATTTTGATTTATTTTCTTAAGTATTTCCCAACTACATTTTAATCTGATACAGGCCTGCAATACAGAGTTTTGACATCTTTGACCTAGATCACTGAGAGGATAAGTGATTTGCTTGGGGTCAGCCTGATGAATTGATTTTGATTGGCTTTGAAAAGCAGATTATGTAACACACATATGTACATATGCATGCACATATATATATATATATATATATATGTACATATGCACATATATACATACATATAAATGTATATGACACTTTAAGGTTTAGAAAGGGCTTCATATACATTGAACCTCACAGAAATATTGTGAGGGAGGTGCTTGTTTATTTTTAAGAAAAGGAAACTGCGACACTGGGAAATTAAATTACTTTTTCCAAGTTCATATTAGCAAGTGAGTATCTGAGGCAGTATTCAAACCCAGATCTTCCTGCCTCCAATTTCAGGGCTTATCACATACTGGCTCATGACAATTTCCACAGCACTTATCACTTCCCACATTTGAAACTTGAGGGTGAATGTTTGCCGTTGTTTCCTGCCTTGACACCAGCAGCCTCTGGGAGGGTTCTAAGACAAAGGTGGTGTTGGCGGAGTCGGGGAAAGATTTTGTGTGTTCCACATGGGACTGAAAATTTCCCATTCACGCAAAGCATGAATTCAACCACCTTTCAAAGTACAATTCGTGTGTGCTAGCAATAATTCAACTGAACACACACAACTGAATGAGAACATCAAAATTTGAAGTAAGGACATGTTTACAGATTTTCAAGCTGGTAGGGGACCTTGGAGGTCAATAAATCTTCATTCCCTCATTTTACGTGTGAGGGAACTGAGGTCCACAGATGTTAGGTGACTTGCCGAAGGTCACACAAGTAGCAAAACTGAGATTTAAACAATTAAAGTCCTTTGACTCCAA